GTCGTGGCCCCACATTCCACCAAAGGCCCCAATCTCAGGGTCCGCACATCTGGTCCACACAATTCCGGCGCACCCCTCACACGTTTCGTGACCCCATAGGGAGCTCCACCTAAGGTCCCAGTGTCAGGGTCCGCATGCCTGGTCCACGCAATTGTGGTGCACCCCTCAGACGTTTTGTGGCTCCACAGGGAGCTCTACCCAAGGCCCCAGTCTCAGGGTCCTTATACCTGATTCACACGATGTATTCGCACCCCTCACACGATTCGTGGCCCAATATGGAATTATGCCAAAGGCACCAGTTTCAAGGCCCGCATACCTGGTCCACACCATTTCGGCGCACCCCTCTTACGCTTCGTGGCGCCACATGGAGCTCCACCCAATGCCCAAGTCTCAGGGTCTGCATACCGGGTCCACCATGTTTTGTCATTCATGAACACTATAGCGCCCGGTTCTCCGGAGAACCCTCCCGGAGAACCCGGAGAACCCGGAGAACCCAGAGAACCCAGAGAACCCGGAGAACCCCGGAGAACCCGGAGAACCCGGAGAACCCGGAGAACCCGGAGAACCCGGAGAACCTGGAGAACCCGGAGAACCCCGGAGAACCCGGAGAACCCGGAGAACCCGGAGAATCCGGAGAACCCTGGAGAACCTGGAGAACCCGGAGAACCCGGAGAACCCGGAGAACCCGGAGAACCCCGGAGAACCCGGAGAACCCGGAGAACACCGGAGAACCCGGAGAACCCGGAGAACCCGGAGAACCCGGAGAACCCGGAGAACCCGGAGAACCCCGGAGAACCCGGAGAACCCGGAGAACCCGGAGAACCCGGAGAACCCGGAGAACCCGGAGAACCCGGAGAACCCCGGAGAACCCGGAGAACCCGGAGAACCCGGAGAACCCGGAGAACCCGGAGAACCCCCGGAGAACCCGGAGAACCCGGAGAACCCGGAGAACCCGGAGAACCCCGGAGAACCCCGAGAACCCGGAGAACCCGGAGAACACGGAGAACCCGGAGAACCCGGAGAACCCGGAGAACCCGGAGAACCCGGAGAACCCGGAGAACCCCGGAGAACCCGGAGAACCCGGAGAACCCGGAGAACCCGGAGAACCCGGAGAACCCGGAGAACCCGGAGAACCCCGGAGAACCCGGAGAACCCGGAGAACCCCGGAGAACCCGGAGAACCCGGAGAACCCGGAGAACCCGGAGAACCCGGAGAACCCGGAGAACCCCGAGAACCGGAGAACCCGGAGAAACGGAGAACCCGGAGAACCCGGAGAACCCGGAGAACCCGGAGAACCCGGAGAACCCGGAGAACCCCGGAGAACCCGGAGAACCCGGAGAACCCGGAGAACCCGGAGAACCCGGAGAACCCCGGAGAACCCGGAGAACCCGGAGAACCCGGAGAACCCGGAGAACCCGGAGAATCCCGGAGAACCCGGAGAACCCGGAGAACCCGGAGAACCCGGAGAACCCGGAGAACCCGGAGAACCCGGAGGAGAACCCCCGGAGAACCCGGAGAAGAACCCCGGAGAACCCGGAGAACCTGGAGAACCCGGAGAACCCGGAGAACCCGGAGAACCCCGGAGAACCCGGAGAACCCGGAGAACCCCTCGGAACGGAGAACCCGGAGAACCCGGAGAACCCGGAGAACTCGGAGAACCCCGGAGAACCCGGAGAAGACCCCCGGAGAACCCGGAGAACCCGGAGAACCTGGAGAACCCCAAGAACCCTTGGAGACCCCGGAGAACCCGGAGAACCCCCGGAGAACCCGGAGAAACCCTCCCGGAGAACCCGGAGAACCCGGAGAACCCGGAGAACCCGGAGAACCCGGAGAACCGGAGAACCCGGAGAACCCGGAGAACCCGGAGAACCCGGAGGAGAACCCGGAGGAGAACCCGGAGAACCCGGCCGGAGAACCCGGAGAACCCGGAGAACCCGGAGAACCCCTCGGAGAACCCGGAGAACCCGGGGAACCCGGAGAACACGGAGAACCCGGAGAACCTGGAGAACCCCGAGAACCCTTGGAGACCCCGGAGAACCCGGAGAACCCCCGGAGACACCCAGGAGAACTCCCGGAGAACTCGGAGAACCCCCGCAGATTCCGGAGAACCCCGGAGAACCCGGAGAACCCGGAGAACCCGGAGAATCCGGAGAACCCCGGAGAACCCGGAGAACCCGGAGAACCCGGAGAACCCGGAGAACCCGGAGAACCCGGCCGGAGAACCCGGAGAACCCGGAGAACCCCTCGGAGACCCTCCAGAAGACCCGGAGAACCCGGAGAACCCGGAGAATCCGGAGAACCCCGGAGAACCCGGAGAACCCGGAGAACCCGGAGAACCCGGCCGGAGAACCCGGAGAACCCAGAGAACCCGGAGAACGCCTCTCGGAGACCTTCCGGAGAACCCGGAGAACCCGGAGACCCCGGAGAACCGGGAGAACCCGAAGAACCCGGAGAACCTGGAGAACTCCGAGAGCCCTTGGAGACCCCGGAGAACCCGGAGAAGCCCCGGCCCAGACAATCATCATAGCAGTTTTTTTTGATATATATATATTAATTATATTGAATGGGGACATCGTATAATAATAATATTACTTTATGTAGTAATTTTATTGATAAACCAGGGGAACACAAACCCATAGCAATTTTTTTGATATGCACATACGTATAGCAGGGCACAGTGCGGCATAGTGCCGCCCATGCCTTTGCCCCCTTTTGTTATGGGGGCGGCGGACCTGGGGTTGGTTGGCTGGTCGGTCGGTTGGTCGGTTGGTTGGTTGGTTGGTTGGCTGGTTGATATACACATAGGTACGTCAGGCAGGGCACAGTGCGGCATAGTGCCGCCCATGCCTTTGCCCCCTTTTGTCATGGGGGCGGCGGATCTGGAGTTGGTTGGTTGGTTGGTTGGTTGTATTGTGAGTTGCGTTGATTGATTGATTGCTTGATAAGCTCTGGACCCCTCTTCTCCCCCTGTCCTCCCTTCTCCTCCCCCAAACGGCACCACTGTTAAAAAGATAAACGGACACTCAAACGATTCACATCTGTAGCCATATCCTCAGCTGTTTCAGCACCCGTTCGCATGTCTCGACCGTGTGAGGCAGCTGGCCCAGCACCCGATATCGATGTGCACGAGTTTTCTGTCTCATTAGAAGGTGTTGTTGATTCCGAATTCACGTTTGGAAGATATGATACTGCTACGATGACGGAGGGCACAGATTGGTCGGAGTTGGTTCGCCTTGCCCCACTCTTAAAAGTGATTGCTGCAGTGTCGCCTGCAATGCGTGTGAAACCTGCTCAAGTTGCAGCAGCATTCCTGTCCATGTACAAGAGAAAGCCAGAGCTCAACAAGTCGAAACTCCCTGCGAAGATGTTTGCACCACTCCAAGGGCGTTCCGTCACTACCATTCTTTATCACTATCGGCGGGAAGTGAACACGGTTTCAAAACCGAAGAGGTTGAATGAGAAAACGTGGGACGAATTTATCGGCATCAGGGATGAGGTCGAGGCTCTGCGATCGGAGGAGCCCGCTGCTCCCAAAAACAAGAAAGCAAAGGCAATGGCGACGCCACCGAAAGTTCCAGACACACTTGCAATTGTTGACTCAGCGTCGAGCCCGTGGGCGGCCGATCTTCAAGATGATTTCGAGAGTTGGGCTGGGCTGGCAACGCCAAAAAAGAAGCAAACGAAGCAGGACCTCACTACCAGGGAACAGCGATTGGCAGACGAAGCTCGGGCAGCTTCTTCGAAGCCATTGCCTCCAGGAAGAGGGGCGGTGAAAAGACTCGTTGTTGCGAAGCGGCCCGCTGGCGTAGCAGGTCGAACGTTGTGCCCCGTCGCACAGTGCAACTCGTTCAAGGAGATGAAGCTGCAGGTGGCGTCTGGGAAAAGCTACATATTGACCAGGAGCGGCGAGAAGTGGCCTCTGCTCGTGGAGATCAAGCATCCAGAGCACGAGACTTTTATCCACCATATTTGGAACAAGCTGGTCAGCAGCAAAAAGAAACTCAAAAAAGAGGACGTCGTTCGCATGAGGGACGAACTCGTGAAGAAGCACGCGAAGAAATCTGAATCTATTTGCCCCGATGCAGACGGAGATGGACCCTCAGAGGCAGAAGATCCAGAGGCCGAAGGTGATGATGACGCATCCGACTTGCCGTGGACTGCTTGACAAATTTTGCCGAGCAGTCGGACCAATTTTGCCAACGCCAATGCTTTATACAAGTAGTTGCTGTGCGGGTCGACGCATGGTTGCCCAGTAAAAAACACAATCAAAAAACACGCACCGCAATCAGTAGTCGAAACATCACGATGATAAACACATATCGAATGATGAGAAACACATGTCGAACACAAAGACATAGGATCGAACAAACACGTAAACAGTAACACAAACAAACGAACCGAACACGCCATACACAGACGCACACGCTCGCACGCAAATGAAACATAACAGAAAACAAGCATGTGCACAGCAAGAAGACACAGCAATTCTGGCAATCAAAAAACAATCCCCCTCAAAATCCCCCAAAAAGCTCCGGAACATCAGCTCCGAAGGTTGTGATTAGAGTTTCTGCTGATTTCCTCACTCCTACCAGCGTCGCGTCTGGTTTCGAGCAGGGAGGGTGCAGTGCGGCACAGCGCCGCCAACGCCTGTGCACCCTCTTGTTATGGGGGCGGCGGATCTGAAGGTGGTTGGTTGGTTGATTGGCTGGCAACGTTGATTGGTGGTTGGTTGGTTGATTGATTGGTGGTTGGTTGGTTGATATGATTTGCATAACGGATTGGCTGGTTGATTGGTATGATTGGTTGGTTGAGTGGTGTGATTGATTGGCTGGTCCTGGTTATCTCTGATATTGCTTCTGGACCTTGGCCTAGTGACACCTCCAGCGGGCCCTCCTGAGGACTTAGCTTATAGGGTGAACCCTTATTTGGGGTTGAGTTTCAAAGCGCACTCTGTGGGCACATATGGCATATGTCTGGTAATTTCAAACATAAAAGTCCGTAGCCATTCTGGCTGAATATATTTTTCTCGGCATTTCGTGACAGATACTTCTTTCGATAGATGGCGCCGAAAGGCGTTGGATCGAAGCAGAAAGCTGCCAGAGCAGCTCCCAAGGCGACCGCCAAGAAACCTCCCAAGCCAGCTCCGAAGAAGGTTGCCAAACCAACTCAGGACGATGACGAATCGCTGCCTGAAGTGAACCCGAAGAGCCAGGATGCCAGGATGAAAGCCAAGACGGAGCTGGACGCTAAGATCCTCGAGTTTCAGAGGCAGGCCAGCAACTGCAAGGAGCAAGACCCGAACTTGTTCAAGAAAATATTCACCAAATCGGAGCTCAGCGCGTTGTGGGGCCGCCTCAAAGAGGCACGTAAGAAAGAGAGTATGTCGGTGCAGGAAGCGTGGGACACTTTGTGCTCGCTCAAAGTTGGAGCTAACCAGAAAAAGAATGACATTCTCACGGAGTTCTTGCTCGGTAAGCCGTGGCAGTCCAGGCTCATCACAGTTGTTCGTGAGCACGCAAAGAAGGAGACGTTCGAGAACAAGCAAATCCCGTTGAGCAGGGGTGAACTGCAGCAGAAACTTGGATACGAGGAGGCCGAGAGGAAGATCGCTGCAGGTAAATTCGAGGAAGTTGAGGACTCCGACGGGGAGATCCTCTACATCAAGAAGGAGAAGAGCTTCACCCAGGCAGCCAGCTCCGCTACCAAGGTGTCAGACACCAGGGCTGCCACGTGGAACGTAATTACCAACGCAAAAAAAAAACGAAAACGTTTGAGCCAACACGTTTCAAAATTTTCAACTTGAGAAACGTATCTGTAAGAGCGAAAAGCTCTTACAGACCTCTTGCGTAATAGATCTGTAAGAGGTTTGAGCTCTTACAGATGGGTGTATATCGTTTTTTTTACTTTACATTTTTTGGGTGTTTTTTAACCACTCACACGGTTTCAATCAGGACCAGGCGCCCGAACATCGACGACGACACCGCGAGCATCGAGATGTTCGAGGACTGGATGAAGTCCGCGACGTGGAAGGGCAAGAAGGCGGTCAAGGACGAGGAGCCGACCGTGCCGATGAAGCGCCGCAAGCTCGAGAAGGCTGACGACGACGACTCGCCGCCGCTGAAGGAGACCAAGAACCACGACTACGCCAGCATCGTGAAGGCCTCGAACAAGTGGTCGGCCACGATCGCAGCCGTTCGCTCCAAGATCAAGTCTGGCGACAAGCTGTCCAAGCCGACTGTGAATGCGCTCAAGGATTCCTCCTCCTCCTTCCTCCCCTTCCTACCCTCCTCCTCCTCATCTCCCTTCCTCCTCCTCCTCCTTCTCCACCCTTCCTCCCCCTTCTCCCCCTCCTCCCACAAATTAGGATCTCGCCCAGCAGTTCGAGACCGTCCGTAAGGCGTGCCTCTCGGGCAGCTCCAGCTCGAAGGCAAGCGACAAGAACCACTTGAAGGATCAGGTGAAGCAGTTCACCGCACTCGATAAGGAGGCCACTAAAATCATGAAGAAGGCGAAGGCCCTCGCGAAGTGAATGGCTGACCCGGGCTAGTAAAACAACCAAACCAAAATACAAATGAAATAGTTGGCAACATCCGTAAACAAGAACGATTCGAGATAGTTGTGTTTTCGAACGGTGCTGCGAGATAGTTGTGTTTTCGAACGGTGCTGCGAGGTAGCTACGCAGCATCGCCAGATCGTTCCCAGCTGCTGGCGCGGTGGCCGCAGCATTTCTTGTGCGTGCACACTTATGCTGACGTGAAAAGACGCCATTCGGTACTGCAAAGAACGCCACCTGCAGGATGATCCAAGGACCCTCTGAGCTGTGAGTATGACATCTGTTTACAGAGCGGTTTTCTTGGGAAAAAGCTCAAGGGGGGAAATTCCGTACAAAACAATCGTTTTGTACAGAATTTCCCCCCCCGCCTGTTTTTTCCAGCGCTGAATCTCTGAATCCCCCTCCTCGTCTCATCCCGAACCAAACCAATCACTCGGAAATCGAACGAGATTTGCAAACGCGAGCCACTCGGCAATCGGAAAGAAAAAAAAACAAAAAAACACAATGACCAGAACAACGAACAACTGCATACATGACAAACACGCGCTAAAGACATCACCGACATAGATCTGTCATCGTTATCATCGTACTCATGATCATCATCACAAAGACACCCAAATCAATCCCAAATGAACCCGCGATAACCCAAACAGGTCCAGCCTTCAGCTCCCAAATTGACCCAACTCCATCTCTTAAATATCTCGTGTGGCCCGTTGCCAATTTTGGTTCAAGATTGGTTTGTTTGTTGTGTTGCGGAATTCAGTGCTTGTTTGGAATGGAGGGTCCGCTGCTACTGCGTGGTGGCACGCGTCAGCGTCGTGCAGCCTTGGACGCGGCAGGCCAACCCAGCGCCGTCACCTCCAAGTCAGCCCTCGCCGAAATCCTGCTGTTCCTCTTCGGTTGGGGCCTTCTCACAGCCACGTGTATCCAGTGGGTTGCAGGCGCTGCCGTGCGTGACGGATTGAACCACCCCGATCTGTTGAAACTGGCTGCAGTTGGTGCAGCTGGCGAATACCCTGGGAACTGCAGGAGAGACCTTTTGTCTAAATTCTGCAATGTTATGCGGGTGCCAAAGTATACTACGTTCACGGTCATGATGAAGGATAGCAAAGGTGTAGTTGAGCCTCGTCGGGGCCTCATGAACGCACCAAATCGATTTCTGGATTCGCTGTACCAGCACTGCGTCGGCACGTTCAGGAAGATTTGTGGAGCGCTCGGCAATGGCCTCCGCGACTTCTGGACGCAAGTTTCTAGGGATGACCCCAAATTAAAGCATCTTATTTCAATACTTGGTCCGCTTGAGAGTTGGTATGATCACGTTATCCCTTACAAGTTGCACGGCGACGCCGCCACCTTTACTCACAAGAGAGACCATTCAATGTTGTCTGCTCAGATAAAGCCGCTGCTCGCCACGAACGAGACGTTCCGACATTGGATTCTCCTTTTCTCGATTGTTAAGACGGCAGCTGTGCACAACGACGACCCTACGGGTGATACAATGGAAGTGCATTGGGCCTACGCTGTGCATTTCCTCGATGCCCTGTTTGACGGACGGCACCCACAGAAAGACCCGTGGGGTAGGGATTGGCCAAGTGATTCACCTGATGCGCGCACGGCTGGTTTGGAGTGTTGCGGTGGCATGCGTTGGGTGTGCTGGGCAATAGTGGGCGACCTGGATTTCTTCTCCAATGATCTGGGCTACCCGCATGTGAACAGCAACCACCCTTGCTGGTTCGACAGCGTTTCAAGAGATAATGACACGGATTTTCCTCTCACGGACCTCTCTCGGGGCGCGGCGTGGAAGGGCACGCTCCTCTCCGAGGAGGAATGTATGGAAATCCCATGCACCAGGCGCTTCATTGGAAAACTCAAAGGCACAACGCGCTACCAGAGCCCAGGTGACCTGATGCATACTGGGTGCTTGGGAGTTGTGGCCGCCTTCGTAGGCGCAATATTGTGGGAACTTGTGCACGACGGACCTTTCCCAGGCACAATAGATCAGCGTTTGGGGGCCGTTTGCGTGGTGATCAACGCATCTGCAGATATCATCAGCCCGACCTATAGAGTTTCGAACTTGACACGGTCTATGTTTGAGCATGGGGATAATTACGCATCCTTTACAGGCAAAGCTGCAGAGTCGCAACACATGCTTTTCAGTCTTTTGGATGTGTGTAACAACCTGGACGATGGCGGTGACCATCATGGTCATCGATTGGCTGCGCTACGTTCGTTGTGTGGGATCTACAAAATGTATAAGGACAATGGCATGTTCCTCTCTCGTGCTGCGTTCGTTGAGACGAAAGACTTGCTGGACACGTTCTATGAACACTATGCTTGGCTTGCTCAGGATGCGGTAAACAGAGACCGTTTGCTGTATCCCATCTTGCCGAAACACCACATGCTATACCACATTGTGGATTTGGGGCGTTGGCTTAATCCGACAGCTTTGTGGTGCTACGACGCAGAGGACTTTATGCACGTGATCGTGACGACTGCTAAATCGTGCGTTGCTGGCTCCCCCATGTACATTATCGGTAACAAAGTGTTGGAGAATGCGTTGCTTGCCTTGGATTTGATGTTGTTTAGGTGAAGGAGAAAACACACACAAACAACAATTATAGCAAACATATTGATATGGAGACTGTCACATGTATCATAACAAAAAGTTTACTATATGTAGTAATTTTATTGATACACAGTATGCATATCAAAAACACTGATACATATCAGTTTTTTTTGAGATGCGGATTCTCTGGGGGAGAACCTGGAGAAACCCCGGAGAACTCGGAGAACCCCCGGAGAATCCGGAGAACCCCGGAGAACCCGGAGAACCCGGAAAACCCGGAGAACCCGGACAACCCGGCGGAGAACCCGGAGAACCCGGAGAACCCGGAGAACCCGGAAAACCCCTCGGAGACCCTCCGGAGAACCGAACCCGGGGAACCCGGAAAATCCGGAGAAACCGGAGAACCCGGAGAACCCGGCCAGAGAACCCGGAGAACCCGGAGAACCCGGAGAACGGAGAACCCGGAGAACCCGGAGAACCCCGGAGAACCTGGAAACCCCGGAGAACCCGGAGAACCCGGAGAACCCGGAGAACCCGGCCGGAGAACCCGGAGAACCCGGAGAACCTGGAGAACCCGGAGAACTCGGAGAACCCCTCGGAGACCCTCCGGAGAACCCAGAGAACCCGGGGAACCCGGAGAACACGGAGAACCCGAAGAACCCGAAGAACCCGGAGAACCCCGAGAACTTTTGGAGACCCCGGAGAACCCGGAGAACCCCCGGAGAACCCGGAGCAACCCCGGAGAACACGGAGAACCCGGAGAACCCGGAGAACTCCCGGAGAACCCGGAGAACCCGGAGAACCTCCGGAGAACCTCCGGAGAACGCCCGGAGAACCCGGAGAACCCGGAGAACCCCCGACGATGACGACGACGACGACGACGACGACGACGACGACGACGACGACGACGACGACGATAACGACGTGCTGCCGTCGCTGCTGGTCCATCCTGGATGTCCTCCCTCCTTCCTGGCCTCTGGCGCTCCCGCCCGACAGAGAACCTTGCCTTCTGCCAAGCATGTCGACGTGGTCGCCGTCGTGGCCGCCGCCGCCGGTGGAGGGGGGACGCCCGCCCGACCTGACCCTCCCGGTAGGGTCCGACCGCCCGCCCGTCCCGACACCTCCGTTAAGGTGCTCGCGTGCCAAGTCGATGAGGCATCATATGTTAATGCCCTGCCTCCCGAAAAGACACGCCCTTCAGGGTTGTCGCGTGCGGACGTGATGAAGCATCGTACTTCAATGTCCCGCCCGCCCGACACGAGACGCCCGTTGGGACAATCGCTTGCCATCTCGTCGAAGACTCTTATTTTAATGCCGCGAACACCCGACCCGACTCGCCCGTCAGGGTACTGGCGTGACAAATCGATGATGCATCATACTTTAATGCCCCGCCCGCCCGACCCGACACGACCCTCCAGTTGGGGCGCTCGCGTGTCAACTCCGATGATGCACCATGCTTTAGCATGCCACCCGCCCAACCCCGCTCACCCGGTGAGGTACTGGTGTGCCAACCCGATGCTGATTCATACTCTAATGTCCCGCCCGCCTGGACGGCCTCGCCCGCCTGTCAGGGTGCTTACGTGCCAACTCGATGATGCATCATACTTTAATGTCCCGCCCGCCCGACCCGACCCGCCCATTAGGGTACTCGCGTGCACAAGCGATGAAGCATCAAACTTCAATGTCCCGCAAGACAGATCCGACTCGCTCGTGGGGGCGTTCGCGTGCCAAATCGATGATGCATCATACGTTAATGTCCCGCCCGCCCGAAACGACCGGCCCGTTAAGGTACTCGCGCGCAAACAGGATGACGCACCATACTTTAATGTGACGCCCGACCTGGCCCGCCCGCCACAGTACTTGCGCGAAAATTCGATGATGCATCATAGTTTAGTGTCTCGCCCGTCAGACCCGACCGGCCCATTAAGGTATTCGCGTGCGATGTCGATGGAACATCACACTTTAATGTCCCGCCCGCCCGACACGACCCGCCCGTTGGGGAACTCGCGTGCCAACTCGATGATGCAACACACTAGAATGACACCGCCCGCCCGACAAGACCGACCCATTCGGGTACTCCCGTGCCCACTCGATGACGCAACTTACATTGATGTCCGGTTAGAACGACCCGACCCGCCCGTTGGGGTATTCGCAAGACAATTCGGCGATGCATCGTATTTTAATGTCCCGACCACCCGACTGGGCCGCCCGTCTGGATACTGGCGTGAACCACAAGATGCCGCTGAATACCTTAATGTGCCGCCCGTGCAACACGACCTGCCCGTTGGGGTACTCCCGTGCCAACTCTATGATGAACCATGCTTCAGAGTCCCGTCCGCCAAAAATAAACCCGCCCGCTAAGGTACTCGTGTGACAACTCGATGATGCCCCATACTTTAATGTCTCGCGCGCCAGACCCGTCCCGCCTGTCCGGGTAAGTGCGTGCCACCACGATGATGCAAGCTAATTTAATGTCCCGCCCGACCGACCCGACCCGCCCATTAGGGTATCCGCGTGGCCTGCCGATGGAGCATGCTACATTAATGTCCCGCCCGCCCGACCCGAACCGCCCATTGAGGTTTTCGCGTGCAAAACTTGATGATGCATCACACTTTGATGTGCCGCCCGCCCGACCCGACTCGACCAGAGAATCCCCGGAGAACCTCCAGAGAAACATCAGAGAACCCGGAGAACCCTCAGAGAACCTGGAGAACACGGAGAAACCCTTGAGAAACCAAAGAAATCCCATAGAACCCAGAGAAACCGGAGAACTCCCCCAGACCCTCCGGAGGACTCGGAGAACATATGGAGAACCCAGAGAACCCGGAGAATCCCCACAGAACCTCCGGAGAACCCAGAGAATTCGGAAAACCACGGAGAACCCGGAGAACCCCCGGAGACCCGGAGAACCCCAGAGAACCCAGAGAACCCGGAGAACCCGGAGAACCGGAGAACCCGGAGAACCTAGACAATCCCTGGAGAAACCTGAGCGAACCCGGAGAACCTCCAGAGAACCTGGAGAAACCGGAGAACCCAGGGAGAACCCGGAGAAGCACCCGGAGAACTCGGAGAAATCCCGAAGAACCTCCGGAAAACCCGGAGAGCTCCCGGAGATTCCAGAGAACCCGGAGAACCCTCGGAGAACGCCCGGAAACCCCGAGAACCCCCGGAAACTCCGGAGAACCCGGATAACCTTTGGAGAACCTTGGAGAACCCGGAGAACCCGGAGAACCCGAAGAACACGGATAACCCGGAGAATCCCCGGAGAACCCCCGGAAACCCGGAGAACCCGGAAAACCTGGAGAACCCGGAGAACCGGAGCACCCGGAGACAACCCCCGGAGAAACTTAGAACCCGGAGAAACTACAGAGAACCCGGAGAATCCGGAGAACCCAGGGAGAATTCGGAGAAACCCCGGAGAACCCGGAGACCCCCGAAGAACCCCCGGAGAAACCGGAGAACTCCCGGAAAACCCAGAGAAACCTTGGATAACCAAAGAACCCGGAGAACCCCCGGAGAACTCCCGGAGAACCCGGAGAACCCCCAGAGACCTCCGGAGAACCCGGAGAACCCCCGGAGAACCCCCGGAGAACTTTAAGAGAACCCGGAAAACCCGGATAACCCGGAGAACCCGGAGAACCTCCGGAGAACCATTGGAGACCCGGAGAACCCCGGAGAACCCGGAGAACCCAGAGAACCGGAGAACCCGGAGGAACCCCCGGAGAAACCTGAGAAAAACCCGGAGAACCTCCAGAGAACCCGGAAAATCCAGAGAACCCAGGGAGAACCCGGAGAAACTCCGGAGAACCCGGAGAACCCGGAGAACCCCCGAAGAACTCTCGGAGAACCCAGAAAACCTTCGGAAAACCCGAAGAAACCCCCGGAGAACCCCCGGAAAACCCGGAGAACCCTCGGAGAACCCCCGGAAAACCTTGAGAACCCCCAGAAACCTTGGAGAACCCGGAGAACGCCCGGAGAACCCGGAGAAAACTTGAAGAACACGGAGAACCTGGAGAACCCGGAGAACCCCCGGAGAACCCCGAGAATTCCCGAAGACCTCGGAGAACCCGTAGAACCCCCGGAGAACCCTCGGAGAACCCGGAGAACCTAAGAACCCAGAGAATCCGGGAAACCCCGAGAACCTTGGGAGAATCCCAAAACCCCCGGAGACCCCGGAGAACCCGGAGAACCCCCAGAGAACCCGGAGAAACCTTGGAGAATACGGAGAACCTTGAGAACCCGGAGAACCTTCGGAGAACCCCGAAAACCTTGGAGAACCCGGAGAACCGGGAGAACCCGGAGAACCCGGAGAACCTCCGGAGACCTCTGGAGAACCCCCGGAGAACCCGGAGAACCCGGAGAACCCGGAGACCCCGGAGAAACCGGAGAACCCCCGGAGAACACCCGGAGAACCTGGAGAAACCCTGGAGAAAACGAAGAACCCGGAGAACCCGGAGAACCCGGAGAACCCCCGGAGAACCCCGAGAACTCTCGGAGACCCCGGAGAACCCGGAGAAACCCCACAACCCGCGGAGAACCCTCGGAGAACCCGGAGAACCCTGAGAACCCGGAGAACCCGGCCGGAGAACCCGGAGAACCCAAAGAATTTGGAGAATCCGGAGAACCCGGAGAACCCCCGGAGAACCCGGAGAACCACGAGAACCCGGAGAACCCGGAGAAACCCCGAAGAACCCCCGGAGAACCCTCGGAGAACCCAGAGAACCCGGAGAACCTGGAGAACCCAAAGAACCCAGCCGGAGAACCCGGAGAATCCGGAAAACCCGGAGAACCCGATGCACCCCCGCAGACCCTCCGGAGAACCCGGAGAACCCGGAGAACCCGGAGAACCCCGAGAACCCTTGGAGACCCCAGAGAACCCGGAGAACCCGGAGAACCCCCGGAGACCTTCCGGAAAACCCGGAGAACCCGGGAAACCCGGAGAACACGGAGAACCCAAAGAACCCAGAGAATCCGGAGAACCCCGAGAAACCCCGGAGAACCCGGAGAAACCCCGGAGAACACGGAGAACCCGGAGAACCCGGAGAACCCCCGGAGAACCCGGAGAACCGGGAGAAACCGGAG